ACACACACACACACACACACACATATAGCTGTATTAAACTTTTATATTTTTGTTGCTTGAAAACCTCTTTGATCCCTACACCAAATCCAATATTATTTTATTAGTAACAACCAGTGTTGGGGGTAATATATTACAGGTAACGCAAGTTACTTAATCAGATTACTTTTTTCAAGTAACTAGTAAAGTAACGCATTACTTTTTAATTGACAAGAGAATATCAGAGTTATTTTTTTAAATAAGTAACGCAAGTTACTTTTTTTTCCCAATTTATTGATTGGCAGCTCTCCTGTCCTCATGTTGAGAGAAATCAGAAGATGTTACTGTAGTTCAAAAATAAATAGGAATATGCATTAATTCATCTCACTCACACACAAAAAAACACAGATTCAGTATTCCTCAAAATGAATAAAAATAATGCAACTCAGAATATGACGCAAACCTGCAATAATTAAATGTTAAACAACACAAATATCCTTTATGTATTTAATCCCATTCTATTAACCAATGTCTTTGCTTCTGACCTTCGATGATCCAGTTCAACCGTACTAATAAGCACAAAATACTCTAGACAACATTTGTGTGTATTTTGTTTATTGCTGAAGTGTGTTGAAATGTCTTCTTCTGCATTCTACTGCACGGACGTAAATGTACTTTCCCTTCAGCCTGAGGCTTATTCATTTCACTTTTGGTGTGAAAAGGCTTTTATATTTGCCTAAAACAGAACTTTTTTATTTTAAAAACAAAGAAGCAAGCCCTGTCCAGATTTTAAAAGTAACGCAAAAGTAACGTAACGCATTACTGTCCATAAAAAGTAACTACGTAACTAGTTACTTTTTATGGAGTAACGCAATATCGTAATGCATTACTTTTAAAAGTAACTTTCCCCAACACTGGTAACAACCATGAAGTAACTGGTATTTTGATGGAAACTGCAGATACCATGGTGAATTTGTTACAGGGGAATTTTCCCTCAGGGATCAATGAAGTGCATCTAAAAGATATAAGTTGTTTGCAGAATGTTATAGATTTACAGCTGTAGGGTGAATTCAGTTATTTAATTTATCTCAGTTCGGCCAAATTAAAGCCATGGGCAAAATGATGATATTCTTTAGTGGTTACCTTGACTACTTTAACAGTCAGTCACAGACCAAAGAAACATTTCTGATATTAGAAGCCGGTTTATTTGGCTGTAATAGAAGCCTAAAACACGTTATGTATTCCACGGAATCCACGCGACATTCTCCAGCATTGCTACGGAAAATAAAGCAACCACAGACTCTCTCGCGGCTTTAAATGTATTATGTAGGCATACTGATGCGAGACAATATAATTAAAATACACATATTTTGTACAGTTTAAAGAAATACTGATGTAAACACTAAACCAGCTCACGTGAGGCGCTCAACCAACGCGTGAAAACAATACATGCAGCATTTTTTTTTTTATGTACTTACCAATTTCGTCGCCCTATAAGGTCCCGGTCCAATCATTTTACCATCCATTTCAGCCCTATTAATTTTTATTAACTTATTTATCCATTTAAGTTACCGTCTTTAGCTCCGTAAACAGCTCAACGCCAGTTACTACACTTAGTTTTGAAAAAGCGACACGTTCCTGCCAATAATGTGATTGGTACACGAAATCAGTCACGTGATGCTACTGATTTACCAAATATGGGCATCTCCTTTACCGGGAGTTGCCCAAGTGCAGTATGGGAGATGTAGTGCAAGTGCGCTGTTGAAAACTTGTGTAGGCGTAATGAAAGCACAAGAAAACCAAGATATATTGACAATTTATTTAGTTTCATTATAAAAGCTCAATTTCTTTTTTTTCTCTTTCACAAAATTGGAAATTCATTTAAAAAGACAAAAAAAAAAATCCTGTAACATTGTTCTGGTCTTCCATTTCCTCCGCTCTGATCAGTAGAACATAAGCATAACAGGTAATTCCTACAGATCAATATATATATATTTTTTTTTAAAAGATCACATTAAGAAAACAGCAACATTAAATAACGAATAAATAGTCACACAGCATAAATCTGACAAAACTTCAGATGATGTCACTTCTGCATCATGCGGTAAACTTTCAGGTTCAAGCACAACCAGGTAGATCAGTCAAGCGTTCCTCCGGGGTCAAAGGGCCTCGGGCTCATTCAGTTACAACTAAAACACAACCTTCAAAAACCCTTTTAGAAACAAACTTCAATCCCCTGTGCTCTCATAACCCCTTTTCAGATTTGGCCAGCAGTTCAATCATATTCCAAAGCGGAAAAAAATTTCAATATTTAAAGGTAAATTAGAGCATATTAGAACTTTTGTGACATGAAGGGTGGGGTATGAGTAAAGTTTCGGAATTCAGAAGACAACAAAAATGGAGGACAGCATCTCTAGTGAAACACCAGTGTGCAATTTTCAGACGTCTTAAATCCAGTGATAAGGTGGATTCCACATTAGTTTTAACATAAAACAGGGAAGTGGAACTTGAACGGATGAAATAAAAAGGAATATTCCCACTTAATAGGTTAGAGCGTCACGTTTGGGTGGCCAAAGGAAAGATCACTCGGATTTCTTGAGAAGGTAGTTTCCGTTCTGGAACACCTTGGGTAGCCTCTTGCCCTTGGTGTAGGCGTGATAGTAGAAGTGGAGGAACAGGAACAGGAAGATCAGCCCATATGAACCGATGACGTAGAGGAACACAGGAAACTGGTAAGGACAGTCCTTCATGAAGAACTGGCCAATATGAGCGGTGATCAGCACAAACTGAACCTAACACAAACAGAAAGGGTCGAGTTAGAACCAGTTTAGAGTTCCAACATCAAAAAGCCTGGATTTCGACAAACGACACTGGTAACTTACCAGCTGGATGGTGGTCATATACTTTTTCCACCACAGGTACTTCTGATAGGCGGGTCCCAGGGCGGAGAGAGCATAGTAGGTGTACATTATGACATGGACGATGCAGTTCAGCAGGGCATGGAAGGTTCCCAGACCACCTAAGAAAGCAAAACATACCATTTAA